AATATGAAAAAAATTGCCGGACAAGGTTTAGGGGTTAGGGAGTATAGGGTGTAGGGAGGGCTTGAACCGAACCTGTACACAAGAGTTGAGCCAAAAACTGTACAAGCCGCTGTACAACGGGGAGGCTTGAGCCGAAGCTGTACACGAAGACTTGAGCCAGCAACTGTACAACAAGACTTGTCCGGCGAAGGGGGCCCGCTCGGGCGACGACCTTTTTTCCGGGCGGGTTGTTCAAAAGTCATGAGCTGGGCTCAGCAACGAGAAGCGATCAGAATTGCAGCCGAGGCCGGGGTCAGGGCGAGGACCTCGGCGGCAGGCTCAGAAACCCTTCCTTTGAGACACCACCACCTCCGCTACGCGATGCTCAGCCGCCCCAACGGCGAGCTGACGAGGGCCGGCCAGTACTACTACCAACTGATCGGCCGGCCGCCCCCCAGCCGGCAGCACGACCGCAACCAACCCCTCATCCGCGAGGGGCCCAACGACTACATCATGCTCCGGGGGGGCGCTAAAAAGCTGCTCCGCAGCCTCCAACCCAACGGGAACTACCACTTGACCAAGCTCGGGAAGAGCTTCTTCAAGGACAAGTGGGTCGACTGGGTGGTGCACGTGCCCGTCATCATTCGCGGCATCCGGCGAAACGGCCGGAACCGCGGCATGCCCTACGAGCGCACCAAGCGCCTGCCGGTCACCGACCTCAACGTCGCACTGTCCCGGCTGAGCGAAGGGCTCTCGGACGTGATCAATCACTTTCCCCAGTCACACAAATGCAAACATTCCTTTGTGACATCCAGCCTTAGTCCAGTCTTGAGCCAATGCCATTTAACACTGAGAGTGAGTGAGTGAGTGAGTGAGTGGGGGTCTTAAGGTCAAGGGTTTAGGGCGTCTGCTATTTTCATTTTCGGGGTTGATAAGTTGTAATAGTAGGATATAGGCTTTCACTATTCGAGTGCTTCGGATCTTCGGGCTTTGGGACAATTGAAAAGTCCATAGGATGAGCTTGGGATTTTTGATATTTTTGTGTCGCGGTGTATTATATTTATTATTTTGGGGATTTCGGATCTATCTCGTATGGGATTTACCTATATCTTTAAGGCTCAAATATTTTCATAAATACTACATGCTTTGATTTTTTAATTTAGGGTTCTAAAGGTTTAGGACACAAAAAAAGTAAAAAACAAGCATGCGCAGCAGACTCAAGCGCGACATCACCTTTTCCATGCTCCCATGCTTCCCCTTGGAGTTCGCTTGCTACTCTGGCAACAACCTCAGGCAAGTTGCCAGCGCTACGTGACTTAATTGTCGAGAACCATCTTCTCTCGATGCACCTCCTTCTCGGTTTCGGAAAGGAGTTTGACACAATTGTGCTCTCCAATTCTCGCGGACTTTCTAGTCACAATCCGCCCAGCTGCATCTCTGCGAGCCTCAGATTTCATGCCTAGAGCTGTGAAAGCCAGACCAATCTTCTGAAAGGTAGTACAGCAGCGTGTACTCGCAAACTTCTTCAACACACTGGTCGATGACGATGCCAATGCCATATGTTTCATACACATGCCGGCCAATCTGAAGTATAAGATGTCGCAGATCTATAATATGCTTCGGTAGATCTGCAACAAGAGGACGATGACGCTCTTCCTCTAAAAATGTGCGGAACATGTCTGCAGTGACAAATACGCCATGAGTTTCCTCAGCACAACTTGACTCATCTGAACTTGTAGCATTACCAGAAGCAAGGTCTTGCTTCACACTCACAAACCACGGTTGCTTGCCGAATTCAACTGAATCTGCAACATGACCACCTCCATCATTCTTGACAGCATGCCGTGCTATCAGCTCAAGTTCCTCTGTCACTACATCTTGTGCGAAATCTAGCAATGCTGTCGCCAACTGGTGCAGTAGTCCATTCAAATTGGACGAGCGCAGCTCTGATATGATCTTCTCTTCATCCGGGTTGATGTTTGTTTTCGCAAAGAAGTGGTGGAAAAAAGGCTTTCTGCAATGAACGGGTCGCTCTCGTTTGCTAGAAATCCTCCGTGGGTGATCAATGCGTTCTGGAACATCATGTAGTGGCTCGTCTGGAAGCTCGCCTGGAATAGTCGTTGCTTCGGAAGGAGCCCGAGCCGAGTGTCCCAAATCCAAGCTGCTGAGGTGGTTCTCAATGTCTTGAGTTGTTAACAAGTTGACTGGTTCAGGCGCCTCCGAGGTCTCAGCCTTACTCACCAAGTCTTTGTTGACAAGAGCATCCAGCAAGACTCCTTTGTTCTTCGCACGTTGTAGACTGGCTTCGGCTAGCTGTTTTGCTATATGTCGCTCTTCTCTGTTCTCATCTTCAGTGGTCTGCAAAAGAAATGCCCAGTTCGACATGGCTGCTTGGTGTAAGAATATTTCAATGAAAGTAGAATGGACATGCGCAATTCTGCCAAACACTCTCTACCGTCAGAATTGAAAACAAAGATATATATAATATAAATGATACATGAAGATGCTTGTGTAAAACACTTGCTGCTATTGCCTGTTGATGCTGTATTCGAGGGAGCAAGCGCAGGACAATCACTGCAATGAAATCATGCCAAGATCATGTGAAAATCATGCACCACTGCAACGAAATCATGCCAATACGCCAAACAAGAATTCACATTTCCGCGGGCTTCCTGGGTAGGTCCCACAGTTTTGGCCCCATTTTGGATAGAAACAATACACCAAACAAGAGTTCACATTTCCGCGGGCTTCCTGGGTAGGTCCCACAGTTTTGGCCCCATTTTGGATAGAAACAATACACCAAACAAGAGTTCACATTTCCGCGGGCTTCCTGGGTAGGTCCCACAGTTTTGGCCCCATTTTGGATAGAAACAATACACCAAACAAGAGTTCACATTTCCGCGGGCTTCCTGGGTAGGTCCCACAGTTTTGGCCCCATTTTGGATAGAAACAATACACCAAACAAGAGTTCACATTTCCGCGGGCTTCCTGGGTAGGTCCCACAGTTTTGGCCATTTTGGATAGAAACAATACACCAAACAAGAGTTCACATTTCCGCGGGCTTCCTGGGTAGGTCCCACAGTTTTGGCCCCATTTTGGATAGAAACAATACACCAAACAAGAGTTCACATTTCCGCGGGCTTCCTGGGTAGGTCCCACAGTTTTGGCCATTTTGGACAGAAACAATACGCCAAACCAGAGTTCACATTTCCGCGGGCTTCCTGGGTAGGTCCCACAGTTTTGGCCCCATTTTGGACAGAAACAATACGTGTTAAAGAACAGGGTTCACTACGGGTTCAGACACAGCTCCACTTAACACGCACTTTTCCTTCCCAGGCAGCCCGCAACCTGCGAGCGTCCGTGCTCGCGCAGCTGGGGAACCCCGAGCCGAACGACATCATCCTGGAGCTGTCCGACGAAACCTACTACTTGGACGCAACGAGGGAGTGGACCTTCAGCCAGCAGGCCATGCAGGTCGTGGACAACCAGGTGGTGCTGGACACCGTCCTGGATCAGCCCCTGGGAGCTCTGCGGGACGTCTCCTACCAGCTGTACTGCGGCGACGAAATCCTCGAGTCCGCCTTCGAACAACGGCCGGACAAGCTCTGCGTCCCTCGGCAGCTCGCGGAGCTGATGCGGCTGCCGCTGCAAGAGGTGCTTTCGGACTTCGACGCAATCTGCACCCAAAAAACGTGGCGGGAGCAAGGCATCACCCCCCGAGAGATCCGGGAATTCTGCCTCTGGCGCCAAGCCCCGATGTTCTACGTGGACTGCCAGGGCCGCCTGCTGGACAAGTACGAGCCTTCCGTCAAGGAGCAACGGGCAGTGGCCTTCACGAGCTGGAACGGCCACGCCTTCTTCTACAAATCCGCCCGCACCGTCGCGAAGTGCGAGCCGATCGGCGAGCGGGCCAGGTACCGGGGCGAGAGGAAGCCGGGCGAAACGCCCGAGTTCAAGGATTGGCGGGAGTGGGAGGGCGAGGTCGCCAGCGGCCACTTCTACGCCGAGGACCTGGAGCAGGTCCGGAGGGAGCTCCTGGCCGAGGGGCACTGCCCGAAGGTGGTCATGCGAAGCATGAGCGAGTGGAGGTGCCTGCGGCTGAGGGTGCGGGGCGGCGAGGACTGCGTCATCTCCGCCTTCCACGAAGACCTGGACGTGCTGCAGGCCTGGATGCGGCGGCTGGGGCTCCCCTATTACGGGCAGCGTCTGGCAGGCGCGGCGAGCGAGGTCTTCCTTCACCTTCTCAAGGCCCGCCGCGATCCGCCCGGATCTCGGCAAGCCCTGCTCTCGGAGCAGGACCATCAGTGCAAGCTCTGCGCAGCCCCCATCACCGCAACCACGTGCGAGTTGGACCACATCGTTCCCGTGCACCAGTCCTTCGCTGCGCAGGCCCAGAATCTCCAGGCCCTGTGCCTCGAATGCCACCGGAACAAAACAGCCTTGGAGTCCTCGCACGCCACGACACTGGAGTCGCGCTTCAGCCGGCGGGCTTACGAGCAGTACGTGGAATCGCCCCGACTCCCGCCGCTCGTCTTCAAGCTCAACAGCCACAAGCCGGAGCACATCTGCCACGGAATCGACGTGGTCCGGTGCCGCAAGAACGGCCTGGCCCATGCCAAGTTCCCGGCGCCCATCTTCTGCCCCAAGGACAACGTAGAGCAAGCCCGCGAGGGGCACCTGGCGGACCTCACCTACGTGAAGCTCCGGGAGGACGGGCGTTGGGCGGCCTTCAAGCAGCTTCCCTACGTGGGTCAGGGCTGGTACGCCAAGCCTGCGGTGGCCTACATGCTGGAAAAGGGCCTTGCGACCTGGCGCGACTTCGTGTACAGCCTGGACGCCACGGCGCACGTGGACCAACAGTCCGTGACTCAGGCGCTGCAGCAAATGGAGGCGGCTTGGCCGGAGGGAGAAGAGCACTACGCGAAGCTGTCGGTGAACGCCCTCATCGGGCTCTGGGCACGCAACATGAACCTCATCTACACCATGCGCACCAGCAACCACCAGTTCGACGGCTCCGGGTGCCAGCACCGGGAGCTGTTCCTGGACGCCGCGGGCGGGATGCACTGGGATCACATCTACGTGACCCAGTTGTTGTCCAATCGGAGCTGCCGGCCCGTGCACGACTTCGTGATGGCCTCGGAGTACGTCGCCGTCTCCAGAATAAGGGATGCACTCGCAACCGTGCCGTCGAGGTACCTGAAGGCCGTCAAAACGGACTGCGTCGTGTTCCAGGACCTGCCCAAAAAGTTCCAGGGCCTCGTGGACGGACTGGTCCGCCAAAAACACCCCGACGGCACGGCCGTGTACCGATGCGAGGAGGTCAAGGGCCTCGAAGGCCAGTACCGAATCCCCCGAATCGAGGCGGAGTGCATGTGCAACATTGACACCTGGAAGGTCGCGGAGGACCCGGTGCTCCACTGCCTGGAGGGCGGGAGCCTGCTGCTGACCGGTTACCCGGGCACCGGGAAAACCTATCTGGCGCGCCAGATCGTGACCGCCCTCCGGGAAGAAGGGTACAAGGTGAAGATCATCACGAAGACCCACTCCTCCGTGCAGAACTTCGGCCGACCACTGGGTGCGGAGCACCGTTCGGAACGGGTACTGCAACATCGACTGGCTGGTGGCGGAGGAAATCACGCAGCTCGACACCGGGCTGTGGAACGATATCGCCTGCGTCTCCATGAACCGCAAAATCAAGTTCCTGCTGCTCGGCGACTTCCGCCAGTTCCCCGCGATCATGGACAACTTCGCGGGCACCCCGGTGCAGCGCGAGCTCAAGCACTGCCAGCTGCTCCACGACCTCACCGACGGCTGGCACCACGAGCTCACCGAGAACATGAGGAGCGATCCGGGCATCTTCGACTTCCTGACCTGGCTCCGGGTCGACGAGCCCCGAGAGCAGCCCCTGGCCGAGGCGCTCCAGGCGGCGCGAGAAAGATTTCCTCGGCAAGGCGAGCCGGACGTCAGCCTGGTCATCTCCCACGCCCACCGCATCAGGATCAACGCCCGGGACAACCGCCGCCTGGCCCCGCCGGAAGCTGTCACGATCGAGTACACCGGCACTGGCCCGACGACCACCAACATGCCGCAGACCATGCGGGTCTGGCCCGGCCTCAAGCTCATCGGGGCCGGCGGCCGGGTCAGCAAGGGCATCTACGTGCACGTGGCCGAAGTGGGCGCCGAGAAGATCGTCTTGGACGGCGGCGACTCCTTCAACCCACGCCGCCCTCCTGAAGCACACCCGGCTGTGCCATGCCATCACCTACGCCTCGTGCCAAGGCCTGACGCTCGAGGGGCGGGTCTTCCTGTGCGACACCGAGAGCCCGCACTTCACTCTCAAGGGCACCAGCCGGGCCACCAGCAGCGAGCTCCTGAGCGTGCTCTAGAAGGGGCACGCGGGACCGGCGGCCTCGTAATCCTTCAGCTGCAGATCGGTCACTTCGAGCAGTAGGCCGCACTGGTTGGACATCAACCATATTTGGCGCAGCTCGCACCGGACCCTGCACTCCCTGCCGGCGAGGTTGCCGGGCTCCGCCAGCTCCTCCTGATTGGGCCCCCACATGCGGACTCGCCTCCAGTCCATCTTCAGCTTGAGGTACGAGCCACCCCGTGGCCTCGTTTTCAGGCACGATTGGAAGCGGTCCTTCACGTCCGTTTGGGTGAGAAACTTGCCGAAGACCTTCGGCTCAGAAAGCGACAGCGCCGTCAGGGCCCTGACGAGGTGCTGCTCGATCTCCTGGAGCTGCGCCTTGGAAGCCTCCTCGGGCTCCAGGCACAGACCCACGCGCTTGGCGCTCGGGTCGTTGAAGGCGGCCGGGTGCCAGATGATCTTCTGCCACTCCGCCGACTGCCACACCGGCGGACCGCCGTTCCGGCGCAGGGGGACGTACTTTCCGCCCTTTGCGTTGATCGTCAGATCGCCGAGCTGAATTGCCGATTCGCAGGTGGCTTGCTGTTGCGGCTCCATGCTGCTCCCTTTTTATGTAACATAAAAAAATGCCGTCGCCCGCCGAACGAATGGGACTGTGGGCGGTCGTCACGCTGGCGGGCGTCTTTCTCGGCTTGTGGCTTTTGTCGTCGCCCTGGGAAAGCCATGAGACTCCTGGAATTGTTCTCCGGCACGAAGTCGGTGGGTCGTGCCTTCGAGGCCCTTGGCTGGGAGGTAACGAGTCTTGACACGGACGCCACGACTCGGCCCACCATCTGCGCCGATATTCAGGAGTGGGATTACCGGACCTACCCGCCCGGGCACTTCGACTTCATCTGGGCCTCTCCCGTCTGCACGGAATTCTCGAGAGCCCTGACCCGGCGACCCCGACGGCTGACCGAGGGCGATGGCTTGGTTCTGAAAACCATCGAGATCATCGGCCACCTCCGGCCTCGGTGGTGGGCCGTCGAGAATCCGCGAACCGGGCTGCTGAAGAGTCGGCCCTACATGCAGGCGCTGCCTTACGACGACGTGTCCTACTGCAAGTACGGCTTCCGGTACCAGAAGACCACCCGAATCTGGAACAACCTGCCTTGGGTTCCCAGCCAAGCGGTCTGCTCCAAGCACGGCCGCTGCGAAGCCTTCCGGGATGGCCGGCACCCCGAAACCGCTCAAAGACAGGGCAGCCGGCACTGGCCCGGCCAGACCCGGGACCAGCTGTACTCCCTGCCGCCCCGGCTGTGCCAGGAGATCGCGGAGAGCCTGGAATAGAAATGGGAAAGGTGAAGCTCTTCCCCACCGCCGAGTACACCTCAAAACAGCCACGCGACCCAATCGTTCCCCGCGTGCCGTGCACGGGCATCTTCCTCGGGCCCTCGAAATCGGGGAAGACGGTGGCCCTGATCTCAGCCATCCTGGACCAGTACATGACAAGCGGCGGCGAGTCGGTCTTCGAGCGCATCTACATCTTCAGCCCGAGCATCGAGATCGACGACGCCTGGAAGCCCGTGAAGGACTTCATCGAGCACCACATGGGCGTCAACACGGAGCGAGAGCAGGTCTACTTCGACAAGTGGGACGAGGGGGCCCTGCGCACCATCATCCAGCAGCAGAAGAAGATCACCCGAACCACGAAGGAGCTGGGCTTCAAGAAGCTCTACCAGATCCTGATCATGATCGACGACTTCGCGGATCAGCCGGAGCTCCACCGCCGCACCGGCGACGGGGCGCTGGACACGCTCTTCATCCGGGGCCGCCACATGCAGATCTCGACCTGGGTCTCCTCCCAGAAGCTCCGGCTCATCAGCGCCGCCGTCCGCGTGAACATGCAGTTCATGTGCGTCTGGCGCCTCCGCAACCAGCTCGAGCTGGAAGCCGTGCTGGAGGAATTGACGGCCCTGCTGCCCAAGCAGGAGCTGCAGGCCATCTACCAGGAAGCGACGCGGGAGCCCTACAGCTTCTCTTCATCCACTACCTGAAGCCCCGCGCCGAAATGTTCTACAAGCGCTGGGAGGAACGCTTCGTGATCGAAAATGGGGACGATCCTGAGCCAGGTGGTGGGCAAGCTCCTCGGGGGCGGGCCGGTCTTGGACAGTGAGTGCCATTGCTGCAGCAGCACCCGCGTCGTGGAACCACGCTGGCCCTACCCCGAGCGGGCCCGGCAGATCAGCGACTCCACGGCCTCCGAGAAGTCGACGGGGCGGAGTTTCTTCCGCCGTAAGAAAAGGATGTCGACGACGATATATATGTGGACTCCCGGAAGCGCACCGCCGGTGACGACAGCAGCTTTGAGTACGATCTGGGGGAGACCCTGCACCTGCAGACGGGCGCCAAGCTCTCCATCTTCAAGCTTCGCGTCGCCGACGCCTTCCTCTCCACGGACCGCGGCTTCTACATGTACTGGATCGACGAGGCCCTGCAGACCCTCAACTGGGCGGTGCTTCCGGTGGGCGCCTACACGGGGGCGAGGCTGGCCGCCTGGATCAGCAGCAACTTCGGCTCCGCGACCTACGTTGACCAAACGAACGAGATCGGAGTGGCCTACGACGGCAACCGCCGCATCTTGAACGACCAGGAGATCCGGAGCCTCTTCCCCGGCAGCGGTTCTTACCCCGCCGGCGCCACGCCCAACCGGCCGCTCAGCATAAATCACCTGCTCGGACCCAGCTTCATCGAGGGCGCCCTCCAAATCTTCACGTTTGTGACGATGGCGCCGTACAACGAGCTGTACCTGCGCTGCAGCACGCTGGCCACCGCGGCCGACATCCGAGGGCAACTGGGCTCCGACATAATTTGCAAAACGATAATCGACAAAGGAGTGGGCCATATCATGCAATCAAGAACAGACGAGGGGCATTTCCTCAAATTGCACGGGCCCATTACGCTGCGCATGCTAAGGTTTCGGGTCACCGACGTGGATGGGAACGTGGTAAACACTCGAGGCACCTCCGTTTCCTTCGCGATTTACCTGGACTACGACAATTAATATCTTTATTCCACTAAATGGCAGAGGAAAATGAGACCGTGGTGGAGGAGACTCCTCAGGAGCCTCCGGCGACTGAGCCTGAGCCGGCTCCGGAGCCTGCTTCGGCCCCCGTGCCCGAGACGCCAGCCGCAGCCCCGAAGCGACGAGGGCGTCCGCCCGGAAGCAAAAACAAACCCAAGCCCCCAAAAACGGTCCCGGCCGAGGAGGTCCCAGCACCGACTCCCGAGCCCGCGCAGCCTGCGGCGACTGCGAAGGCCGCTCCCGCCCCCGCTCCCGCCCCTGCCGGTGAGCCTGCCGGCGACCCCGTTCCCGCGCCACTGGAGCCTGTGAGAATGACGCCCGCCCAGGAGCGGGCTCTCAGGTACATGGAGCGACAAGATAGATACATGCAGCTTCTTGCCCGAAACACTCTGGAACTGTAAAGAAGATGATGCCAGTCGAGAGGCGCAACGAACCCTTCATGCTTCGGCAGTTCCACAAGATGTACCCCAGCTACAACCTCAATCCCCTGATGCGCCGGCGGCACCAGCAGCTCGTCGAGGCGCAAGCTTTCAACGAGTGGCTCTCGAACCGCCGCCTCCGCCAAGAAGGCGAGACCTACGCCGACGAGCTCGGCAGGATGACGGAGGCCGTGAACCGACGGATCCCCCAGCTCCGCTACGCTCCGGCGGAGCGCGCGGGCATCCAACGCATGGCGCGGGACGTGGCCGCCGGCAGGAACACCAGCGACTCCCAGGTCTACGGGGGGATGCTGTAAGTTTATTAACGAACACCCCCGGGAGTGGAGGGAGGGACAAAATTTTCCGGCCCTTTGGCCAGGGAGTAGCTACCCACCCATCCCACCCCTGTCTCGAGGCGGCGCGGGAAATAAAAGAGATGAACTCAGACGATTCAAAGCATGCATTCATGCCATGAAATGTGGTTCAAAATAAAGCAAAGGCGTTTTGAAAACTTCGCAGTAATTTTCAAAACTCTCCTAGGAAAATAAAGCTAATAGAGGCAAGCCTCATGTGTCGCTTATTTTCCACGGAGCTTTGCTTTATTTCTAAAGTAAGATTCCAATCACAGTATTCCCAAGCTATATGGGAAAATCAAAGTATATAAAGAATAAGAAAATTGCTCAAGCAGATGTGGCGCTTTTTCCTTCCGGCAAAGCCGAAGGGGGAAGTCGTGACATCCCCGCACCGATCGATGGCGAACACGAGGATCGCCAACGAACACCCCATTCACTTAAGAAGGAGATCAATCGTGGCATTGCCTTTGATCGGGCATCGAGGCGACACTCTGCACACCTGCCCCCTGACTGGAAAGATTGACTTAGCTCTCGAAGGAGGATCGGCCGGGTTACTTGCACTTGGAACGCGGCTAAACCAAGGGAGCATCGCCTCAGCGTCGCAGCTCTCAAAGATCAGCAAGAGTTGCCTCCACAAAGGGTCTTTCGAAGAGCCTTTCACCAAAGAGGCCAACACTCCGGAGTGATCCACATACATGGTCACCCTTTGCATGTCCAAGTGCTTTGCCCACGCTTCTCTCGCACATACCACTGCATACATCTCAACTGGGCCTATCAAATGCCTTTTCCCGAGAGCCTCCCAGCTCTGTACAACGCTCAAAGGGATAGCACATGCAAAGAAGAAAGTGCACCACGCGCCGTTGTCGAAATGGTACAAGACTCCTCCGACAGTGGCGGGGTGAGTTTCATTCGTCGGCTCGTACGCTCCATCTGTGAAAATCACAGAACGACGAGACCCTACACAAGCCGGGACTATCCTAGGGGTACCCCCAAGAACCCGGGACCTAAGATTACAAAGGGCCTGCACAGCCGTGGCATCAAGGGTTTTGGCCTGAGAACTCATCGTGCACGCCCTAAGGTCGGCCAGTGCCAATCTGCCCAATCGCCCGTGCAGCTGACCCTCGGCAAACTGGAGGCGACCGAACAAAGACGGCAGGGTCTTCGGATCAAGATGGCCCGCACTCAAGACGGAGTCCACCGCCTCAGCGATGGCAGTAGCACGTTCGGGCTTATTCCCAATCTTAACTACCCCAAAGCTGCCAAGGTCAACCCGAACGCCTAGTAGCTCAGCCTCATGGCTGAAGGGAAGATCCTTGTCTTCCGCCCAGGCGAAACCCAGCAAGTCCAACGCGGCTCTGACAGTCGACTGCGTGTTGTTACAAAGCGGCAAGACCTCTAAAACCGGGTAATCGTCGAAGTAGTTGCAGGCGAGCACCTGCAAGGCAACCAGAACCCTTTGGAGCAATCTTGCAACGCGATTGAATGAAACCACCGACGAGGTGGCCCCAAACAGAAGGGTTCGGCTCTCGAAGCCAAACGCAAGCCTCGAGACCGGGTCCTTGATGGCCACTATGCTCAGACAGCGGTCTCGTGGAGAAACCGCCAACTGTTTATAAGCACTCTTCAAGTCCACTGTTTTCAAGCTTGGCTGAAGCGCATCGGGTTTCAGGGCCCTCCAGAAAGAATGCACCGGAAAGCGAAGATGGTCGCCATCCGACAAAGGGATGCTCACCTCGCCTTTTGCAATGAAGATCTTAAAGAGGGTGATCGCAAGCCAGACCAATTCATCAAGGGCCCTCAAAGAAATCCGATCGGAAACAGCATAGGCGCAGTTTACAGAGTTCTCGGCCAAATCGTCTATCGACCGTGTCTTGGCTTTTTGCACAATGCCGAACCTCCGCACTGGAAGCCAGCCTTCTGGATGACGGGCCTGCAGCTCGTCCCACGAGTAAGGCCCGGTTAGCCACTCCTTGACTAGCATCTCTTGTGTGGAATCCCACACTTCCCGAGCTAAATCATCCACCTCCGCGTTCGCCACCTTCGCCCACAGCGCAGGCCTAAGGAATTTAGCATGCTGCACAAGTTCTGCCCTTGTCATCAGAGCCGGTTTTCTATCCACATCGAAGATGCCAGAAGGACTCGACTCCCCCACTAAGGGAAAACCATGCTTAAGGTGTTCGAAGACTTCAGTGTCAGGCCAACCGAAAGACGATGCAATTTTTTCCAAAAGCAAAATGTTTTTGCCCTTCATAACAGAAGCCACACCAGGATCCATGGCAGCATGCAGGTTTGCTTCGGCACCAGCCAAATCGCGTTTCCAAGAAGTCCACTGCTGGAGCAAATTCAGACGGTGCTTCATCACACCAACCGGGCCCTCTTTCAAGGTAAAAGCCAACGCTCTCAACATGAAGTCTGGGACTGCCACGCACAAGTCGAAGGGATGATCGATATGCAATGCCTGGGCCACAAACTCTTGTTCCGTGCGGTAAATGCCAAAGGTAACTGCTGAAGGCACACCTGACAGGCTCCGACCTGTTTCGCACCGACGACCCCCCGATCACACACAACGCGAAGAAGGCGGGAGCCAGGAGGGATGGACCCTACGGCACATGTGAGATTGCCTTTATTATCCAAAGGAAGGGGCCACGGGAACTCACGGACCGTGGCCTGGCACTTAAACTCGGCGATCTGCGGCTGGAATTTTGACAATCGAGGCTGCCGCCCAGCGGCTGCTACGGCAGAATGCCGCGAACTCTGCAGAGGAAGAGCGTGCTCAAGTAAGAGGCCAGACTGGCCAACCGCCAGCTGCAGGAGGCCAGCAAACAAATCACAGAATTTGGTTGTGTACAAGGCATCTGGTGCAAGCGAGCCCGCAGCGTGGGGCCCGGGGCGACAACGACATGCTGGCACCGGCATGCCAGCCAGCGCGGCCTGGGTTGTGCACAGACGCATTTTGACCGGACTGGGAGCCCCGTAGCAACCTGCACAGAAGTCTACGCAATGGAGGTTGTCGGGCAAGTCGAGCTGTTTCCACAGGGCTGACGCCAGGGGATGCAAGACACTCCAATGCGAATCAGATGCAAGCAAGAGTTTGGCGATGCGAATGGTTTGCCCGGCGCTAAAAGTAGCCTTAAAACAATCCTTGGTCGCAGGAAAGAAATGCACGTGAAAAGGGGCATCGTGGCTGATGACAGTCTGCACAAAGGAGAAACCCGACTCAGTTTCAATGTCCACAGGGACAAGGTGAGTGTGCACTCGCCCAGCGGGGCGAGAATGTTCAAGCGCTATGATTTGAAATCCGTCCCGCCGCACCCGAGCCGGCAGCAATCCGGACCCACACTTTATCTCGACATAGAGAGCAGAACCGGGCTTCAAGGGACTAGCAGGGTCGCTCACAGGTTCCTTAGGGTCAACGGCGGGGACAACCGAAGCGGGCAAGGGCCTAAGCGACTCCTGAGCTGCGGGGGAGGTCAAGGATGGCGGCTGACGAGCACACGCTTCAGCAGGCGCCAACCGCGCGCCCTCGGGCGCGCATTCCGGAACATCAACATGACACTCGCGGAGAAAGTCAAGATGTTCCTTGCACAGCGATTCGACATGACGGATGGTGAATGCAACCAGCAAGACTCTACGGCCCTGCCACGCCTCGGTGTAGTGCCAATTGTGTCTGGCATTGAATCGGACAGGGCCCTTAGCAACCTGCAAGCGAGAGCCTCGTGCACCATTAAGGTCGGATACATCTCGACCGTTTTCATGCTCCACAAAGATAGCTCCACCTGAGAAGTCAGTCAGTGCAATCGCCAAGTTATGCAAGTTGGCATTCCACTGATCTCGATGGCGCTCAGTGCGAACATCCTCAAATATATTTATCGAAGAAAACTTAAACCCCGGTGCACGCTGTCTCACAAACCTTGCAAAGACTTTGAGCGCCTCCGGGTTGGCTGAGGCATTGGCCTTCAGGCCTACATTACCACCAAGAACATACGCTCCCGTGGCATAAGATTTCGAAGTTGGGAGAGGTGCATCGGCACCCCTCTTCAAGGCATCCGAAGGAAGACCATCGAAAACCCGCAGAACATCGGCGGCACTCACATGACCCTCGTCAGGTGAAGAACCTCTTTGCGACTGTGCCCCATCACGGGGCCTCGGGGACCTGCTGCGTGCGGCCTCCACCACACCTGGTGATGGCCTGGAGATGGCACTGTGAGAGCCAACGTTGTGCATGTGATGATCCTCTCGATCAACACCTGACTGCAGACGACACTCCACACCACTCGGAGGAGAGCCGCCGGCGCATGCATTGCTCGGCCGATGAACTCCCTCTAGGAGATCATCCACCTGTGAGGCTCCCGCTGCCGGCTGATGCACACTCTCTGGAGCACCGGCCATCAGCGACGCACCCTCGTGACCCGCTAGTCACGAGCCACCCTGAGCCCGCTTTGGGCACTGCGCTGCACCATGGTTGTGAGCACCGCACTTAGGCACTGCGCAAATGTGCAGGCCTTTCTCGCACTTCTGCCCTTTGGTAGGGCATCCTCCCAGATTGAATGCAAAACAGATTGGGTCACCACGATTGGTGTGAGACCTGCAGCCCTCCAGGCCGGCGGGCAACCTCGTCATGAACCTCTGCTTACCTTTCTTTCCTTTGCCTCCACCTTTGTTGTAAGGAGAAGGCCTCTCCCACTTGGGAGCATCCGGCTTCTGGGGAACATCCTTTAAGGCAGGGGCCGGAAAAGGTTGCAACAAACATGACACTTCGTTCATGTACATCGCATCTGGCAGAAGTGTGTCCAACGGGCGACCCGATGCGACTGTCTGCACTCCTGCCCTGGTCTTATCACGAAGCTCGGCAAACAGCTGCCGATCCGCCGACTCAAGTTGCTTCCAAGTGGGCCTGGCAAAATGCTCCGCAGGCGCTTGCATGCGGGCCTTCATCAAGCGTTGAGTCCACTTATCAGCAACACTGAACTCGATCAGGTTCGCCTGATCCATGGCCAAAGCTCTCCGGGTGAGAGCCTGCTGAACAAGAATCTCCGATGAAGTATCCGCAACCAGATCAGGCTGTTTGTGCTCGATCCGAAGCTTTCCCGAAGACTCCTCAACAGTGAACCTGACATCGCGTTTCTTCTCGCCAGCCAGTTCAGCTTCCTTGGACACACACCGGTCCCACGGAATGTACCTCAGCTCATTTGCCTCATAGGAAGCCACAGCAAGATCAACAAGTGCATCGGCAGGCTCCAGAGGCCCTTTCAGTGTAATCCCGACAAGCTTCTTGGCCTGCCGCTCGTACCGCTCCGACCTCTCAGGCTGAGACAAAGGCCTGACGGTCGACTCTGGGTCGGCCTTCTCAATCCTCTGCTTCATTTCCGCGGTCACAATGGCGAAAGCTTCATTGTAAACCGCACGCCAATTAGCCTTGTCTGCAATTGTCAAGTCTCGCTTCAAAATGTCTTTCAACACCTGCATCAACGGCCCCTCGTCAGTCTGGCCAGGTGTGAAAGAAGAAATGAAAGCCAGCCTCCTCAAGTTTCCCACCTCTGGCAGGATTTTCTGAACGTCATCTTCTGCGAAACCCACGACACTCAATCGCGACTGCAGAACCGATTGACTCTCAGAGTAGTTAGCCATCGACAGGAGCAGGAACCGAGCTAGTGAACTCCTACAAATCGCTGAAAGTTCTCAGAACACTCCCGAATCCGCACCTCGTGGCCTGAGCTCTGACTTACCAGGTTCAAGCACAGACTTCCTAAGACTGAGCCGACTCCTCATGAAAGCGATGCTTGCTTCTGACTGATGCATGTCACTCGAAAACTACGAATCGCACACACTCCTGGAAGCACTCAGCCTAAGCGCGCAACGCTCAGAAACTCAGAAACTCCTTTTCACTGCACTCCTCAGCATCACTTCTTAGGTGGGCAACAGCTTCTACACAGCGGAAACAAAATTCGAGGGACGGAAGACAACCTTTCATACCTGGTCGAGATATTTCTCCCACATCTGAACTTGTCGCCTTCTTCGGATGCGACAGCATGGATGAAACGGCTGTCTCTGTTCCTGAACAAAGGGACTGCTTCAAGCTCGGCACGCAAGCCTGCATCGGGCTCCCATTGCCTTCCCAACTCGTCGGTGGCCGCCTCCGCAGCTACATGATCGACATCCTCGGCATCCTCGCTGGCCTCGGAGGAAGATTCCGACAAAACCTCATCAGGAGGAATGGGCATTCCCTCTGGATCTTCAAAGCGCTTCACGAAGTAACCGGACCTGGTGGCGTCCGGCATGAACCTTTCGCGCGACACTTCGAGCAGAACCCTTTGCAGTTGGCGCACAGGAGCAGACATGTTGTCTCTCCCATAGATGAGCTCGGTCCCGTCACGGCCCCTGGCGTGGTAGCCTAGGGCCGCTCTCACCTCGCGGGGTAGTCCGAATTTGGCGCTCCAACTCAAGGTCGTTGCCTTGAGACTATGCGTCCCAAGCGGTTCAACGGAAGACCTGTCACAACCCGCACGGATCAAGAGTGACTTCATCCATTTCGTGGCACTCGCCACCGCCAGCGGCGATGTTTGCCACCCTCCGCCAGAGAGCGGGCTCGGAAGCAAGGGCTTGCCAGACCCCAAAGGAGGCCCATGCTCCTTATAGAACTCAAACCACTTGACACCCCAGGGCGCCTCACCTATACCTTGGATGGGAGCAAACATGTGCAAATACCTGACCTTTCTTTCCAGTGAGAACGAAGTCTTGCTTCGCTCGACAGCGGACTCCAGGTATCCGACTGTGCCGTCCGGCGTATCGCTTAAGTCACAAGTCATTGCACCTGCAGCTTGGGCATCCGAGTACCTCGCTCGTGCATACAAGGTCCACACGAAAAAGCCAGCAGCGACCCGGTCTGAAGGCTCGAGCACGATCGAGCCGGAAGCGATAGCCTCCAACTTCCGCACATGATCAACTTTGAGCGACGGCTTTTGCCGAGTCTTCCTCTTTTCAAGATACAGCTTCGACGACAGCCCACGGACCCTGGGGCTGAAGACTTCATCACTCACCTTCAAGCTCACAGTGAACTTTGCAAAAGCAAGGCTGCTCAAGAAGCTCCTGGCGAAAGTGGGCGCCTCGTGAGATGCATAATCCTGCAGGAAAGCATAGATCCCTGCTTCAGTGACAGGGAAAGGAATGACCTGGCAACTTCGGCAGTGCTTGATGTACCTGGCAAGGGGCCCAGCACGGCCCGAGATCGTGACGCTCGCCTTCTGAGAAAACACATCTTGCAAGGAAGACTTCAAGTCAGAGTCTCGCCCGTTCTCCTTATCTAGCCGAATCGACAGAGAAAGACCGAAATCGTCAGGGAACCTTTCAAGAATCCCTAGCCACTTTGCCAAAGCTGCTTCCCTCGCCTCAGAGAGTTTCTGATCCCAGCTTTGTCCCGGCACACTCGGAATCTTCACTCCCGCAAGCCTGAGTGACTCAAGCTTTCCCGAAGACGACTTCACCGGCCCTGCAGGACCGGCCGGCCCCACTGGCGCTGACACAATGCATCCCCCTTTGGCAAAAGGCGAGGGCAAAGCAGGCATGTCAAGAAATGTAGAAGCTATTTCCCACGGCATCCTAACTGTGCTTCCAAGCCCTCGGGATGCAACACGCGTGGCCGACACATGGTGACCCTCATAAGCCCCATGCACACGAGCCTTCTTGAGGCTACTTTCAAGAGAGTCGTCCCCTGACATGCTGGCTGCAAACTCGGCCTTGTCAGGCCAGCATGGCAAACGCTACACCCCCCTACAAAATTTTCCGGCCCTTTGGCCAGGGAGTAGCTACCCACCCATCCCACCCCTGTCTCGAGGCGGCGCGGGAAATAAAAGAGATGAACTCAGACGATTCAAAGCATGAATTCATGCCATGAAATGTGGTTCAAAATAAAGCAAAGGCGTTTTGAAAACTTCGCAGTAATTTTCAAAACTCTCCTAGGAAAATAAAGCTAATAGAGGCAAGCCTCATGTGTCGCAAATGGAGGAGCGCAGAAGCAACGGCTTCCGCGTGAAGCCCAGCTTCGGCCAGGTCCTCGGCTACATAGCTGAGGGCGAGCCCCTCGACATCCCCCTACCCAACCGCACGGCGAGCATCTACACATCCAGCCACTTCTACCTGGACGATTACCCCAATGCCCCCGAGCCCATCAGCGATGCACCGATGCCCCACACCCAGCTGAACCCAGCGGCTGCTTTTGAAACAGCCGACGAGGGTTACGACGGAGTTCCCTTCCCTCGCCCGCCCAGAGAGTTCACTCGCCCATCTTTTCTACCGGACTCCGATGACGGAGGCATGGACCCAGGCCAGGCCCTGCGCAACGACGGTCTGAACCCTCCGAGGCCCCCGACGCTCGGAGGTCGCATGAGGGAATCGGGCATCCAAGCCGCGGAGGCGATCATCGCAGGGGGCGCTGCGGGCGCTGCGGCGGCGACCCGAAGCGTCGCCGAGAACCAGACCTTCAACGTTTTGAGGGGCGGAGGAGATTGGCTGGACCGCACGCTGCGGATCCCGAGGAGGCCGCCCGGATTGGGCCCGCCGCCAGACGAAGTGCCCCTGCCGCAAATCATCGGCAGACCCTCCGAAGTCGAGCCCTTGCTGGAGCGAGCCGGCCAGAGAGCCGCGGAGGTGGAGCGAGCGGCCGCGCAAGACATCGAGCAGTTCGCCACACAGCAGCTGGCGGAGGCGGAAGCTTCAGAAGGCTTTGTCACGGCGGCGGAGGCTGCAGCGGCAGGGGCCGAAGCGGCAACTGCGGCGGAAGCGGGTGGAGGAGCTTTGGCATTGCTCGGCGAGGGAGCCCTCGCAGCTGCGGGGACGGTGGGCGCTGCGGCGGGAGGCTTGGCCGTTGCAGGCGCAGGCGCTGCTATCGTGGGAACTGCTTGGGCGATTCAGGGAGCCGCCAACATGGCGGGCTTCATGATGGACAATGCTGGAGGCGGCACGGACTCCGATGCCTCGCGGCCCTATGACGACGGATGTGCAGACGCTGAATGGGATGCAAGAGTCGGGCGCCGTGGACCACTTCCAGGTTCAGGAGATGCGCCGCCAGCAGCAGCGCCCGCAGGTCTTCAGGATCGACACCTCGGAGGACGAGCCCCAGCCCCAAACACAGCCGCAGCAACGCATCGTGGCCGGGCGACCGAGGGCGCAGCCGATGCCCTTCGGCTTGAACGCCCCACCCATCCCGGTCTCTTCCGACAGCGACCGCTCCCGCATCAGCCGGCAGTCTCGCTCGGACCGCGGGCCCCTCGGCACCCAGCCGTCGTTCGACCAGTTGAGGAACGAACCGGAACTTGCGTAGGTAGTAAAGGGTCATGGAGAACATCTCACAAGGGGTCCAAGATGAGCTCGTACAAAGCCTCAATTATCGTCTGGCCTCTTCGAACGTGAACTATGTGATGAGCCGCAAAGACGTGCAATACTTTCCATCGAGTCTCTCGACGTTCACCCCCACCACGTCCAGAGTGGCTAGAATACCGCTTACGAGCGGTCGATCGTTCATAGATCCCGAGAGCGTCAAGATCGCTTTCCGGGTGCGCAACAACTCGGCCACCCTGGCCCTCAACCCCGGCACGCAGGAGCCCTCGTGCTTCATCAAGCGGGTACAGCTCTTCGCCAATGGTCAACGTTGTGATGACATCAGCGAATACGGGCGCTGCTGCTACCTGTACTCGCTGCTGAAGCCCGCCGAATGGTATAGGAACAAAGGCATCACGGGCTTCTGGGAAGTCGGCGGCGCGCCGGCGCCCATCCCGGCGGAGAGCTTCAAGGACACCCTCATGGCGCCAACTTTGATCGGTCTTTTCCAGGCAGGGCGATTTCTACCTCCTCAATTAAACCTAAGTTTGGAATTGGAATTTAGTGAGGCCGCCGACGCCCTGCGCCCCGGCGAAGGTTCGACGGATTACACCATCGAAAATGTCCGAGTTCTGGCCAGTCAAGTCGACCTTGATTCGGCGATGTACGACAGCTTCGAAAAAATCATGCTTTCGGGCAGAAGTTTGACGTTCGGGTATCCAACGATGCACACCCAGGTCTCCAGCATCCCCGCCGGCAGCACTTCTTTCAATGTAACAGTGGCTCGCGCCTGGAGCAAATTACTAGGATGCTTCGTCACCTTTCGGGACGTCAACGATTTGCAGCTCGGCGAGTGCGCCAACTTCGAGCATCCGGGCGACGGGAACCAGTTCTCGGCAAACTCTCTGGAGTCCCAAATGCAGCTGGGAGCGCTCCAATATCCCCGCTATCCTATGGCCAGCGACGCGGAGGCATTCCACTTCCTCGAGATTTTGGCCGGAACCTACGATTCAACCATAAAAAATGTGAGAATCGCCGACAACCAGTGGAACAACAACCAGTTCATTTGTGCCTTCCCCGTGGAGCGTGTACCCAAGCACCCTCTGAGCGGCATCAGCACGCGCTCCGGCGACCTCGCGAGGTTCACCTTCAAGAACATGCAGCCGGACCGGGTCCAGAGAATATACATACACCAACTCAGTTATCAAATTGTGACGCTTTCAGGGTCGGGCGTGTCGGTATTGGACTGATGATATTGGCGTTTGGAGCGATTTGTTGCACCCTTTTTGCCCTCTTCGAGCACCGTCGCCAGCTGGCCGGCGCAGAGCCCGGGCACTAGATGTAAATGAGTTTGTTTCCTTCCACTTTGACCGGGCGGATCCTGGACGACGGCGCAACACCCCCGCCGGTCATCGAGCTGCAGGGCATCTCCGCCGGCCAGCTGGCGACGGTGCTCACAGCCTACACCCCACAGACGGAGCACACGGCAAACACCGCGGCCATCGGAGTCAACGCAGCAGCCATCGCGGCTCTGCAGGGCCAACTGTCCGCCCTGCCCGCAGCTCCGGATCTGACTCCCTACGCCCTGGCGGCGGACCTCGCCGCAGCAGAGGGATCCATCGCGGCAAATGTCTCCGGGCTCGTGGCCGTGAACACGAGCCTGACCCAGGGCCTGGCGGGCAAAGCCAACCAGTCCGCCCTGGACGCCCTCCAGGTGGAAGTGAACGGCAAGAGCACGCCCGCTTCCGTGGACCTGAAGCTCGCGAACCACCCCACCACGGCGGCCATGAACAGCAGCATCGCCTCCGCAACGCGACGCTCGCCAGCATCGCAACCACCTACGCGCTGAAAAGCGTCGTGGACCAGCTGGCGATCGACCTGGCGGCCCGCCAAACGGCCGCCGACGTGGAACAGCGAATCGCCACCGCACTGCTGAGCTACGTGCAGCAGGCGGCCCTCGACGCCGCATTGGCGCTCAGAGACGGTCGGCTGGACGGCCACGACGCTGACATCTTGGCGCTGCAGAGCGCGGGGCCCTTCGCCCTGCCCAGCGAGATCACGGCCCTGCAGGCATCCATCGACGCCATCCTGGCGGAGATCGCCACTCTGGGCGGTGCCACCAACTTGGTCAATGCTCCGGCCTGGCCCGGCGAGATCACCTGGGACCTCCTGGCCGGAACGAACCAAATCCGCAACTTGCACGCCACGGGTCCCCTGAGCATTGCTCTGGCAAATGAGAATTGGACCCTGTCCTTTGCTTGCGACGCCTACAGTCGCGGGGAGACGGACGCCCTGCTGGCTCCCCTGGCCAGCGAGGCCTGGGTGAGCAACGAGATCTTGGCCGCCCTGGCCGCCTACAGCACCACGGTGCAGGTGGGCACCGCCATCTCCGATGCCCTGGGAGCCTACAGCAGCACCGCTGAGATGAACACGGCCATCTCCAACGCCATCGACACCCTGAACGTGGGCCAGTACCAGGACGCCGCGGGGGTGCAGTTCCTGATCGACCAGGCCCTGCTGGCCTACTGGACCCAGGCGGAGGTCTCGAGCTTCGTGGCGGGAGAGCTGGCCAACTACGCCACGACGGCCTCGGTTTCCTCGGCCATCTCCTCGGCCCTCAGCTCCTACGACGACAGCGGCCAGGTGGACAGCAAGATCATCACGGCCCTGCTGGACTTCTACACCAGGGCAGAGACCGACCAGGCCATCGCCAATGCGGTGTCGGGCTCCGTGGATCTGTCGGCCTACTACACCTCCGCCGAGACGCAGACCTACGTGGCCAACGAGCTGCTGGGGTTTTATCCCAGCACGGAGCTGGACTCCCTGCTCACAGCCACGCTGACCCAATACTGGACGTCAGGACGCACCCAGACGGAGATAGACGATGCTATCGCCGGTGCGGGCTTTCAGACACAGGCGGATGCGGACCTGCGCTACTTCGTGCGGGCTCCCGGCGCAGAGTCGGGCCAAATCTTCAACCTGGTGCAAGAACAGTTCACCCCCAGGATCATCCGCAATTTGCTGTTGGAAGCGCCCCTGTCGGGGGACGCCATTCTGGGCAATCAAAGTACTCTGCGGCTCCGCTGCGACTCGTGGACCAAGGCCGAGGCGGACAGCCGCTTCTTGAGGACCAACGACCTCGGCCCCCTCGACGCCCGTTACTTCGTCACCACTCCCGGGGCCGAGGGAGGTGGGATCTTCAACTTAGTTCAAACCCAGTTCACGCCCAGGATCATCCGGAACCTCCTGTGCCAAACGCCCCTCTCCGCCCAGCCCATCCTGGGCAACGGCTCGACCCTCCAGATCTCCTGTGACTGCTGGTCCAAGGGCCAGAGCGACACCCGCTATCCGTTGATAGCCACCTTCAACTCCCTGGGCCAAAGGGTCACGGACCTCGAGAACAGCCCCGGAGTGGCCCCGACGGCGGACCTCACCGTGAACTCGCTGACGGCCACGAGCTTCGTGGACACGCCGCTGCTGCAGAGCGCCGCAGCCGACCTCCAAATCCGGAACGCCACCACCACGATCCGCGCCGAAGACGGCACATTGGTGGCCTCCTTCGCCGCCGGCAACATCGGCCTGGAGCAAGACATCACCGTGCGCTCGGACCGCACCCTGAACGCCACCACGGCGGACGTCGCCCAGTTCTTCGTGGGCAGCACCGCTGCCACGGGGACCTTCGCGAGCAGCAGCTCGGTGACGGCCACGCAGGAGATCGCGAGCGACCTCAGGCTCGAGGCGCCCCTGGTGCGCTCCGATCCGGCGGCGCCCTGGCTCACGGTGCAGGGAGGGACCAACGGGATTCTGATGGACGACACCGTGCGGATCAACGGGGTGCTGGGCCCCGAGGCCTCGCTGCCCTTCCTGAGGTCCTTTCGCCGCTGCTGGAACAAATCGCCGTGGGCCCCACGGACGGCACAGTGGGCGTGGTGGTACGCAACGCCGCGCCCACGGGAGATGCCAAGCTCCTCCTCGACTCGAACAACCAGGCGGGCGTGGCGGAGCTCAAGGTGCTGGCCGGCGGCAACTGCGAGCTGAACGCCCAGTTCCAATTCATCTCCTTCAACACCACCAACGGCCTGGCGAACCTGGCCATTGAGCCCAACATCGGGGGCAGCAACGACGGGGAGGTGATCTTCGGCTACGGCTTCGTGAACCTGAGCGACCGGGCGCTCAAGGAGAACGTCCGGGCCATCCCGGACGAGGAGCTGCAAGAGACCTTCGACGCCGTGGAGCCGCAGCTCTTCGACCGCATCGACGGCGGCAAGGAGCAAATCGGCTTCGTGGCCCAGGACGTGCAGTCCAGCGGGAAGCTGGGGGCGACGATGTGCAAGACGAAGAACCTGGACGGGAGAGAGCTGATGGCCCTCGATTACCAGAAGCTCTCCGTGGTGCTGTGGGGCATCGTCAAGAAGCTGCAGAAGCGGGTCGAGAAGCTGGAGAAAAAGAAAGGCCGCAAGGACGACTCGGAGTAGAAATGGCGGAGGACGACGCGATGGAGTTGCTTGGGCGGCTGGCCCGGGACTTCAACGTCCGTGATCCCCGCAAGCTGTACCAGATCGCCCGCCGGGAGTTTCCGGAGCGGCGGGACCTCACCTCGGCACGGGCCCAGGCGGCCCTGCGCAGTGATGTGGCGAGGCAGGTCCTCGCACCCAAGCCTCGGAGCCTGGGGAAGTCGGCGGCCGAGGGGCCGAACGATAGGTTGCAGGCGGACCTCGTGGATTTTTCCCAGAACACTCGAGGGGCGAACAAGTACGGGCTGGTGGTGACAGACGTGTTCACAAGGGAGGTGGCCACAAAGGCGTTGCCCGACAAGCGGGCTGAGACTGTTACCCGAGCGGCCGCGGAAATCATCCCCGAGCTAGTGCAGAACGAAGGGAACTATGTGGTGACGACGGACCAGGGCAACGAATTTCAAGGCTTGGAAGGAGCCTTGCCAGGAGGTGTGGTGCATCGGCAGAAGGACCCGCGCGACCGCAACGCCATGGCCGTTGTCGACCGGGCCATCCAGACACTGAAGAAGGATCTGGCGGGCAAGGTGGCCCGAGACGGTGGCGGATGGGGCGAGCACGTGGAGAACGTGACGGAAGCCTACAACGCCCGACCGCACCAGGCGGTGCACGCGGCGCCTGAGGACGTGGAGACGCAGCCGGCGACAACGTTCCGAGTCTATCAAGACAATGCAACCAAATTCCAGCATAACAAGGAGCTCACGGAGGGTCGCAAACGCCGATTGGAAGAAGCGGGCGCATTCAGAGCTCCGACAAATGCAAGAAGAAGCTTCGAACCGCAGTACGGACCTGCTCGCGATGTTGCAAGCATTGACTCCATGGTTGTTCGAGCCACAGATGGAACCGAAACCCTGTTGAAGCATGCACTTCCAGTTCCGAGAGGCAGTGCCGAGCCCAAAGCCAAGTTGACTCGACCTCCTGTGCCCCTCGCCATTCGCCAGCTTCGAGACTTCAATCCTGGACCCGTAGCTCCACCTTGATCTTTCTCATGAACAAAAATGACTGAGCTTTCGTCCGCATGCCAAGCTATCATGCAAGCGCCTTCCGAAGAGCACTTGGTGGCGTTGCTTGACCAGTGGTCGCCACAATGGAAATGGCGGGGTCGACAACGAGCCATCGGAGCCGGAGCATATGAGCGGTACTGCACCTTGGGCCTTTATGCTTTTGGAGGCAATGCTCCGAACGTGTCTAAAGCTTCGTCGATGAAAGAAGCATGCATAGCAATCAACCATTTCATGAGACATCGCTTTCCAAATGGAACCTGGACTTCCATAGCCGTCCTGCTGAATCCTCGAATCGGACTGCATCGCGACATGCAAAACATGGTCGGGAAGCTGAACCATGCTATTGCTCTTGGAAGTTTCAGTGGAGGCAGAGTCTGGATTGAAGACGATGAAGGAACTTCATTCGAAAAACTGAGCAACAATGACAAAGTTCGTGAGCTAAAGGGTTCATGGTTTGACATTCATGACCATCCTATGTCTTTCAACGCACGACACTTTCACAAAATTGAGCCACATGAAGGTCATATGTGGGCGCTGGCAGCATACACGCCGCAATCATTTAGACGCTGCTCCGATGAAGTTTGTTTGCAATTAAAAGAGCTCGGATTTCCGCTTGCAAGCGAAAACTTTCAGAACGAATCAAGCTCGCAACAGTCTTCACCGAGTCCAGGCGGATTAGCTAGAAACGATGAAACTGCCGCATAGCACCATTCCAGCGGTAACAACGATGAAACTGCGACATAGCACCATTCCAGCGGAATCTAGCACAACTCAAGGTGCAAACTCCGACCCCGCCAGGCCGCACTATGGCCCGAAAGATTTTGCATGGACTTTGCGCGCACTTTTGGGCCTTCTAAAAGCCAGCTCTGAGCCTTCTAGGCCACGTTCTGGAGCGAGTTCCGGCCGAAACCAGGGGGAAGGACTTGCCCCATCAACAAAACAGCGAGAGACTACGCTGAAAGAAAACGTGGTTTGAAAAATCAGATACAAGAGAGAGCCCTACATTTGGAGTCGCGAAGCTTGCGATTTTCACCAACAGTGCAAAGCCTCTCGAACCGTCATTTGTGCGGTTTCAAGACAGAAACTGAAGCCTTCCAAAGCCTCCCTCGTGGGTTCGGAGCTTACAATCTTACCGTAGTCTCTGCAGTCTTCTGGTCTTGTAGTTCCTGCAGCTTGCAGCTGTCCCTGCTTCACTTGCAAGATCATCGAAGCTTGTTGAAGCCTTTTCTAACTCCAGCAAGTGGACTTGGAGCCAGCTCCGGCTTAGAATTCTCTGTAGTAAAGAAAGAAGAAAGGCAGCCCACGTGCTCGTTCAGGTCCGAGGCTTCTGGTGACCCCTTTAATACATCCGGGCCACAAACGTGTGGCTTTGAAGCCACATAAGCCACAAACGTGTGGTTTTGAAGCCACATCAAGGCCACTTAACGTGTGGTTCTCAAGCCACATCAACGTGTGGTTTTGAGGCCACATCATCTGAGCGGTCACAAGGTCCCGCTTTTTGCAAGGAGTCCCAACCCGGGCCCATCCAAGTCCCACCTTCTGCGTCACCGAATCCCGTTTTTTTGCTCGCCGGGTCTCATCCGGGTGTCACCGGGTCCCATGTTTCCCACACAAGGAGTTTCATCTGGTTGTCACGTGTCCCATACTTTGCCAGCCAGATCGAATCCGGGTCCCACCGGGTCCCATCCGGGTCCCACCTGGGTCCACCCAGGTCCCATTTTTCTGGGGCCGGGTCCCACACCCCGTTTAGGTTTTAAAAGTTTAAATGAACGGCGAGGCGGGACCCATGCACGGTTTTTGTGCATGGAGCTGCCTTTAGCATTGTAGTCCAGGTCATGTCCGTGTCAACACTATTGGCTATTGCTGACTCCATAGAGCCATAGATCTTGGCAATCCTAGACAGGAGCTTCGATGATCGTGTCGCAGCGATGCATCCTAATAAACGTCAAAGATCTCGATTGGCTTAAAAAGATCCTCGAGATACCTCGATGACATTGCAAACTGACACTGATCTCCAGTGGATATAGAAGCAGGATGAGCCCCAGAAATGATGCTGCGGACGACCCCGTTTCTGGGCCCACGAAACGAAAGCAATTCTGGCTTCGCCACAATGGGCCTCCCCAGTTGCAAATCCGCTGGTTGTGGCATTGAAGGTGAGCGTGCAGCTGGTTTGGACAAGACTTCTGGCTTTTCAATCTTGCGTCTGCATGGTGGCCAAAACTGCGGGAACAAAGGCAGGCAGGCGCACGCGCGAGATCCAGCTGGTTGGCCCCGAACAGTTGCGATTTGCGACCCCAAAATGGGGCCGTTTCGCGGCCCCGAAAACAGGGCTGCGACATGCGCCCGGCCTCATTGCAGAGGAGGCCCTTCCAAGCATCCTAGAGAACAGCTTCCGGAATTGGCTCCGTAATTCGAGCGTTCTTTTGGCCCATGTGTTGCAACGATCTCCGACGTGGAAGCACCTCCTGTTCCTCCCCCTCAAAGAGTGGAGTTGCCGCAGGAGTGTAGAACGTCCTTCGTAAATAAATGGTCCTTCCTCGTCTGCCTGTTGCTAGGAGACTTTGTCCGCCCGTCTGGCCCGCCTGCGACAGGAGCGTCAGGATGCAAAGGTGTGGTATTGTCTGCGTGTCTACAAGATGTCTTGATTGTCTTTCGTCCAAAGCAGGTAGAAGCGCGCAGAGTCGCTAAGATCCTGAAAGCAGAGCAAAAACGACTTCGCAAGGCATGGTTCTGTCTGCTGCCCCGTCGAATGTAGATGTTTGTGAACTTGCCCAGGCCAAAAAACAGTAGCACGGCAGCTTTCTGAATCGCAGTAAATTAACCCTTGTCGTTTCTCACACGACGGCGCGAATGTTTTAACGCGCATTGAGCCCGGCACTGAGAGTGATCAGCGGTCAGTGAGCTTCGCTGTCGCCTCTCTGGTGTTGAACTGTTGCCCCAGCAGCGAGTATCTGTTGAGCAGTGACTAAGCTCTGCCAGCTTTTAGTACGTGAGTCAGTGAGTGTGAATGAGTGAGCTTTGCTGCGACGAACGGCTGCCTGCAGCGCGTAAAGCAGTGACCAAGTTTCGCTCTTTCTTTTCCAAGGGAATGAATGTTTACGGCTTTGAGCCCGGCGCTGAGAGTGGTCAGCGGTGCGAGCCCTGCCGAAGCAGTGGGTGAGAGAGCTTGGCTGTGACCCGAACTGTTGCGTGGCAGCGAGTAACTTCTTCGTCTTCGGTTGAGTGTGAGCGGTTCAGCAGTGTGCAAGCCTTGTCTGAGCCAGGGCACGAATATTTCACGGGCTTTGAGCCCGGCACTAAAAGCGATGACTTTGCGGAGTGGGGTTTGCCATCTGGCAAAGAGGTCTGCCATCTGAGCCAGTGAATGTATGAGCATTGCCCAAACTGTTGCCTGAGCAGCCGGTAAACTTTCCGGCTAGTCAGTGACGAAGCCTTGCTTTGACGTAATCCCAGCCTTCTTTTTCTGAAGGCCACAAAACGTGGTTGCGTTGCGGTGTAGGGTTTAGGATGAGTAAGTGAGCCTTGCTGTAGTCCATGTGGGCAGCCAAAACTCTTTGTTGACATCTAGCAGGTTTTTCCGAATGCACGAATGTGAGCCCGTCATATCATGCTCATTCGCTTCTGAAATGTTGAGCCTGTTGCAAGGTCGAAGCTGAGCGCCGTAGTCTTTTACGTAGAGCAACGCGCAGCATGAAAATCTGGAGCCGAAATTGTCCGCTTGCAGAAAGCCAGGACAGGCAGACTCTACTGATCCGCCGCAGTTTGATTCGAGATTGTATGCTGCAGGGTGTGAGGATACAGACGAGGGAACTTAAACGAGCCCAGAGGTGGCGGGCAAATCATTTCACCCTTAGGACAAAGCCGGTGGTATAATACTCAGCTGCCAACTGAGTTTGATCGACTCCGGCATGTCTGGGACCTTCCACCGTTCTAATAGTGTTATACTACCCAAAGGGTGTG